ATTTTTATATGGTAAAAAAATCGAATCGGACACGTAATATTGTTCAATTTTCAACGGCTATGGGTCAGTTTCTAACAAGTGCCCGAATAGGATTTCAACGTCGAGTTTGGACTCCGGGTACTTTTCTATGCCGGTCACTTTTTCACGTAACACCGGAAATGTTCGTCGATGATGGACATGCTATATCCCATGATGCACTTTTGAACCGTTTATCGTCATTAAAATATATCCTATGATTCATTGACTGTAACGACTGGAAAGTATTACATCAAGCTCTGAGCGAGAACTTTCTCCCTAAACGTTTATTTGTCATCTTGAGGTGGCGAGAAAAGTAGAAGTGTTTAAACATTGGTAAATTTTTTCGTATTTTCTGTTTGTTGGTGATGATTTTAATCTTTCTTAATCCAACACAAATGTAGTCTTGATTTTTCAATTGTTTTTACCTGAGACCAATCAGATAGCTACTCGCGTGCCTTTAATTTTTCAATGACATATTCCAGGGTGCAGAGAGCGTTACCCCTAGAGTATCGAGGATGTGATAATGCACCACCCTGTTTGTCATTATATATGAAGCCAGAAGAGTGTTATAATCAACTTTGGATATATGTTTATTATAAACAACCAACGTTTAAATATCATGAACATATCAGTAATATTGATTTGTTCATATTGACGTATACTAATACACATTTATTTTGTATGCTAATAATCCATTTGCATATGTTATAATTTATCATTTGTATTTATGTTGCCGTACGATGCCTTTGTCAGGTCTTCGTAACAACGGAACTTAATAATCTTGCATTAATATTTTGATACTTAAAACAACTATACTAAAAGCAAATGACCGCTATAAAAATATATTTATTCTATTTTATAACATATTCATATTTTGAATTGATTTAAATCCATTTTAGGCCAGCGAGAAGCATTGGAGGATGGGTCGGTATCGCAACAGCTCACAGATATTATTGGAATTGGCAAAACTATGGTATAGAACAGTATAGATGTAACATGACAGGTGATAGGAGTTTACCGGTAAATTAAAAAACAGTCAAAAAGATCACTAGAGTCGTTTTCAAAGAGACAAAATATCTTGTTTAGAGACGATAAGTTAGAAGATGGTACGTCAACAAAGTTACTGTTGGGCAGTTTAAGGGAAATAGCATGCCGTAGTATTATAACCTATTACAGATACAGTGGTATGTTGGCAGTAGGCGTATTGTTATGATAGTCAGACATAATATTACTACATATTACAGATACAATTTAGTTATTTTGACAATAGGCGTAATGTTGTAATGGTCAGACATAATTATGTAGTGCTAAACTGTAAAAAGTATATATATTAAAAAAATTACTATGATATTGTGAGTAATACAGTGTAATATTATTTATGAACATGCTTGTACAGACAAAGGAAAATTGTTTAGATTTGCATTGGCATGCTATTAATTAAAACAATTTGCTAAATTCAGACTTGTTGATAATTATAGAAATTATTGTATTATGTCGAACGTTGTTCAAAACCAGCCACCTGTCTTTAGTGCCAAAACAATTATATCCCGCATTTTGTAAACAACAGAAACATAACAAAATCAAGCAATTCCTCACAAAAAGTTTTCAAAATTATTTTTTGATATGTACTTAACATTCCTATTTTATAAAAAAAAATATATAGTATTTCTCTTCACATACATCGTCCTCATATTTAACCATGATAGCAGATTGTAATCGCGATTGTTGAAAGTTAAATTTTTGAATCGCTTTACATCCATTTGATTATGATATCGTGTTAAACGTAATGAAATATACACAAATATTTAAAAACAGCAAACGTGGAATTTCAGCGGGTACAGTACTCAACACAACGTCAATGGTATCTACAGAACAGGACGAATCCTTTGTATTGATATATAACACGCGATGAGGAGCAATATGAGCTTCTGTACAAACTTAGTGATATAAAGTAAGTTTTTAAAACCTTCACACACCCTCACTAGACCTGAATGATGGCATTTTCGCTTTAAAGCGATCTGTAATACGCTTTCACAGCCACTGTACAGAATAATTCATAGTGTGCTTGGACTATCTTATAATATTCTTGTTTTACTGGACGTATTTATATTGAGAAGGATCACATTTTCGAAACGTCCTTTATTACACATATACGAACCAGTGAGACCACTGACGATGACGATGCGGAAATATATAGCGAGCTCGTATGGAATGAGTCCTTCCAACTTCCAAACATCATAGTAAATATGGAATCTTTGATAGCGAGTTTTTAAAACTTCGGTGTTCTTGATACAGATTCATTTATGTAGAGGTCTCATAACATCGTTGTAAACACGGAATCATTATTACCGAGTTTTAAACATCCTAACATCTTTGTCTGTACAGTTCATAATTAATATTTAAAACCTCCACACTTCAATGCTTATACCGAACCATATACATACGTTTTAAGACCTCAAATCATCCTTGTTTTTCTCCCAGAATCATTGATAGCGAGTTAAAACGAAATCGTCCTAAGTTTACTGTACAGCCTTCCTAAATCATCGCGTATATGGAATCGCCAATAATAATCTTCATGATGAATTTCAATCTCAACTAAAGTATCGTAGCCTCAAACATATATATGCTATATATAAATGTATATCATAAATGTATGGGGATACGTTTTGCGGGATATTTTTTGATTTTATTGATGTTTCTGTTGTTTACAAACGCCGCCTGGCACCATTTTGAACCGTTAACATAATAGTATTCGCAAATGAGCACTTCCGCTAGATCCACACTTCGTCAAAATGCATGATAATCAGTTAAATCTGTGTTAATTGGTCACCTACGGGGGATCGTGATTTTGGCTGCTTATGAACAACGTTCGAGTAAAGGCCATAATAGATTTTTTTTTATAACATTTATCAACAAGCTTAAACTGAGCAAACTCGTTTGAATTATTTATCATAGCATGCCGATGAATATCTTGAAAATCTGAATTTGTCAGTTCAAGCATAATAATAAATAATATTGCTCTGTTTTACTTAAAATATCAGATATACTGGTTAATCATTTACTGTATATATTGTTTACAATTTAACACTACATGATTATGTCCGAGTATCACAACAATACGCCTACTGTCAACATAATTTTATGTTTCCCACATTGTATTTCAATTTCAGAATATGTTTGAATGTTACATACCCTCATTAATATTTAAAGATGCATTTAAAAATAACCAGTGAGGCGTATGCACACAGGTGTAAAATGTATACGAATTGTCCACAAAATCGATGTCGATTCGGCTACGCTTGAGCGTATGTACAATAGTTGTTATATATGTACCGAAATGACTCGATTCAGCTGCGCTTCGTTTAATACTTGGTCATAGATGTGAAAGAGTATATGAGCCCCTCATCTCGATTTAGAACTGCACCACTGCGGCGTATCCAGATGGCTTTATTTATCTGCCACTTGAACAGATTGCTCTCTCTGTCCAATGCCTTGGATTTCTCCTAGTCAATCAAATGATTTTTTTCTGTGTGGCACGGCCTGGGATTGCCGATTTATTTATCTGAGACTACGACTGCTTCCTTTCTGATCTGGTGAATTTCCTTCCTTCTTGGGTTTCCGTATCTTTCCGGCGTTCACCAAGATGGACCTCTAATCGCCTTCCAGTGTCTTCCAGTCTGTGAAATGAACTGTCCTTAAAAAAACATTAATTGAACAGCAGTTTTGGCGGGAAAGATGATACGCTGTCAATGGTGTTGAAATCTACAGCTGAGCAATAAACAAATAGTTCTACTTGACATATATATAATATGTTGAATAGTCTGTAAAATATTTAATTTACAAAAATGCGGCTTACTGATAAACAACTGTTGTAGTTGTAGTGTTATATTTGCAGATTGTTAAACTTAAGGGGGACATGATCCTGTACTCCGGGGGAACCCATTTTAGATTGTTTTGTACTTCCTTGCTGCATCAACATCTTTGAAATGTCCCATTAATGATAATAACTAGGATCTGCCCCGTTTTTACTGGATTCCAAACATTCTAAAGATTCCTTTGTAAACAACATGTTATCGCTGATTCTCCAAACTTCTCATTACCATTCTAAAACATCAAGATGTATGTCGATTTGTGACACCGTCTACGCGATAAAACTTGGTAGATCTCATTTTCGTTTCAATGCAAAGTTCCAAATATTCAAATACTAAAATCTGATGAATGGAGGAGATTTATTCTTCCCAGTCGGATTAGATGGACAACGACTTCAATATGATAAAGAGTAATAATGCTTTGTATATTAGCCGTAATACTCGTTAAACAATGGGACTTGCCAGATATTAAAGAAAATATGTTCTTAAAATTTGACCATTTGTATTTGTAGATTATATAGATAATCAGCTGTCTTTCTTTAACCAATTACATGTACATGAACGTATCGATACATCTGAATTCGAGAAGCGTCATCTCAAGACCTATTAAAGGAGTTTTCTACAACGCTTGAGATACATGTATACAATGATTCGAACCTGCTACCTATTTAACCCTTACACCCCTATGTAACTTCAGTAAACTCTTCTATGCATTGATTTGGATGAGTCCATTATGGTCTGCAGTGGTGAAAGGGTTAAGGGACCTTACTGTTTACAATGACAATACTGTAAAACCAATGTGGCAGCAACCTGTAATTAAAAGACACATTGCAAATCGAAACCGTGGACAATTTCCATCAGCCTGCTGAAAAGTTGACAAATGCGTATTTTGGTAAACGTGGAATCATTCGGACGCCATGTTTCACTTTTGTCTTCAACACCGCGTTTGTATTTCATGAAGAAACAATATCCCAGAATTACACATAGTATCTTAGTTAGTTTCATTTACATACATATAATAAGGTTATTCCATTATATTTATCACAACTTCAATAAGTTCCGTTGTTACAAAGACCTGACACTGGTATCGTAAGGCATCACAAATACAAATGATAAATTATAACATATTTATTTTGCATATATATTATGAGCATACATGTATGAATATGCCATTATGTTCCTAAATCAATATTACTGAAATGTTAATTACTAAACGTTGGTTGGCATTTTTACAATAATCTAATATTGATAATAACACTCTTCTGGCTTTCTATACAATGACAAACACAGTGTCGGATTATCACATCCTCGATACTCCGAGGTTACGCTCACTTACGCTCTCTACAATCTGGAATATGTCATAGCAAAAGTAAAGGCATGTGGCTAGCTATGTGATTGGTCTGAGGTAAAAAAAAAAAAACACACTGACCAATCGCTAGGTCGATAGCTGTCCTTTAAAAATCAAAGAGGAGCAACATCCGACTTCAAAGTGGGTCAATGTCATTGCAAAACTTGCATTCAACAAAGAACTAGCCCAGCCTTCCTGTGTCATCCACAAGGTGGTACACACCGAGCCTCCAACTTTTGAATGACATATTCCAGGGGTGCAAAGAACGGCATTCTCGATACTCCAGGGGTTACGCTCTCTGCCCCTGGAATATGTCATAGCAAAATGAAGGTGAAAACAATCTGGCCAATCGCTTAGATGAACATATCTTTTGAAGGTCAACGAGGAGCGATACCCGACTTCAAAACCAGTCGATTTTATCGTTACGCTACCGCGGGCTTCTTTTGATGTACATCAAAAGATCAAACTCGCCTTCTTGTATCATCCGCAAGGTGGCGCACACTGAGCCTATGATTTTTTACGACATATCCCAAGGGCGCAGAGAACGTAAGTGAGCGTAACTCCTGGAGTATTGAGGATTAAAAAAGGTGAGTGAATGTGGAATTCGAGGATGCATCATCAGAACGCGGTGCATTGTGGTGAAGTCTGGTAAACATAACTTGGTAGTATGTTAAGTGTTTTCCTTTAACATCAACAATAACAAAATTTATAATTCAGAACTCATTTTGGTGGGAGTAGATAATACATGTGTTTTCATACAAAAATCAAAAAATCCACGTAATACGTAAAAGGCATCTGTTTAAATTATGTTTGCTATGCCCATGTTAACATTATGTTTGCTAGGCCCAAACTCAAAATTGCAAACCCAACACCAAAGGGCTGACAACATGCATAACTGCAATGTCTAAAACCTGATTACATTCACGACAACTCAATCCAAAATTTTAATCAATGAAACAAATTGCATCTACAGATATTAAAATCATCACCTCAAGACAGAAAAAAAAAAAAAAAAATGCAAATTTTCAAACACTTCTCAAAAATAACTGCAGGCAAATCACGAGATAATTAAGCTCTAAAATATTTGTACCTAGTTTCCTCCAAATAGTTTCGCTTGGTTAACTGTAGCGCAACTGGTCAAGGATATTTCCATTGACCAGGTAGCTTAATGGGTAAGAGAGCTAGGGTTCGAATCCTGCCTTGCCCCATTGCATGATACATCTTATTGCTTACAATCGTCTTCGTTGAAAGTTTTCATAAACATCCTGCAAAGTACTATTAGTTTTCCTTTCAGAGATTATTTTTCAAGTTATAGCCATGTAGAAAAAGAGAAGTTTCCAATGTATAGTTATATTTTTGGCAGTGGTACTGGGATACTGAAATCATGACACGTTTAGCCAATCAAGTTTTACACAACTGGACTCAAATGAACCAAAGCTCACACAATTTATTTAGAAAGTGTCGATGAACATGGCGTCATGACATTTCTCGAGTTACTTATTGATTCTCTAGTTTTTATAGGATACAATAAATAATGAAAGTTCCACTTATGAAAGACTAAGGTAAACCACTATGGATATAACTCATGGGTAGTTCATTATTAATACATATTAACATATACAAGTATATACATGATTATTCAATCTTAAACAAAATATTTCACATTATGAGTAAGGTCTTTAGCGGTTTTCATTTGCAAAATATATACATAATATATGATCTCGACATTAATATTTTCAATTTGCGTTTTTCATCTGGAAAAAATGCACATTATTTATAGTTTCGACATAAAAAGGTTTCGATTTACGTTTTCCATCAGAAAAATATTACATAAAATATGGTTTCTTCATAAGCATTTTTCAATTTGCGTTTTTCATTTGATTTTTTTTTACATAATATATGGATTCTACATAAACATTTTTCTATTTGGGTTTTTCATCTGAAATATATATTATGTACATAAAATATGGTTTCTACAAAAGCAATTTTTCAATTTGCGTTTAAGTATATCAAATCCACAGAATATGGCAGCAAACGTATAACGCTATAATGCTACAGCACTTGAATGCAAGACGATTGGTATCTGTAAACACATTAGGGAGTTCTATTAATCTCGTACAGTGAAGCCTCGATCACTCAGAGCTATCGCGACGACTGGAGTAACGGGTTAGATTTGTGAAGGAAATGCTTAAGCTGTGCACGAAAACACTGTCTTTATGGTTGGACAACCGGCAAGGTGACCCCTGGAATAACACTACCGTGTATCAGGTTTTTATAACTTTAGAACTTCTAAAGAAAAAACAGTCAATTCTCAGCCCACGTCGTCAGAATAATGGTCTCACTGTAGGCGTTTCTTTAAATTTATAATGCGTGATAATACTAAAAAGGACTTCTCGAACAGTCAAGGAAATAGTACATATTGTACAGAAAATGTACGATGTTCTTGTATGAAAATAGGCAACAAGAATATGAAACAACGTTAAGCGGAAGTCTTTATTTTAACGGTCGATAAAATATTCTCGTGGACGCTGTCTAAATTATATTAGTCCATATTTTGAGTATATTTAAGTACAACAGAGCATTCAGTCTTAATGTTTCGTAATCTTTAGACAAGTAGGCGAGGAGGTAGTTAAGAAAAGTTATAATGAGGAAAAGAGGAGACAACAGACATTAATGACAAACGACACGAACGATCAACGAGTACTGTTCAGGTACGCAATATAAACAACGTATGGTCGACCTTCCATGTTGGTTTTAGATAGTCATAAGTACAGACTATCGTTTTACGGACGATCCGAACGAGAATGTGTGCATCATATTCAAATCCTTTTGTTATTGTAAGTAAGTATCCCATATGCGCAGGCATTGAAGAGGAAACCGCGGCAGATTATGTTCATTTTTATTGAAGTCGTCATGGACAGGACGGCGTTTGTTGAAAGTTATGTGAAAATAATAACCATTTGGAAAAGAATGTACATGCCTTTAATAAAATAACAACAAATGGGCAAAAATGTCTGTATTTAAAGAAGAATTATTTCACTTTTTTCTGCAATGATATTGGATTGCCTTACATACCTCGTCATGGGGAAGGTTCGGACAGGCAATCTGGGGTAAGTTCGGTTCACGTTATAGTCAGAATAAGTATGACGTCATTAAGCATGCAATGTCATATTTTCTCGCCACTGTCACTTAAATAAGTAACAATTCGGTTTATAATTTTCCTCTATCCTCGCAAAAGTAACCATCTCACTTTTAGTATTTTTTAATGGCATTTTCTGTACCTTTTATCATGTAAATGTCCCGCTAAGTCGAATAAACTGCTAAGATCCACAAAATGGTAAAAATGTGCTCAATGCCAAAATATATCAGGGATGGTCGGACTTACCCCAAGCACGAACCTGTCCTTGTTTACCCTGAACATCTAGGTGGCACATCACCCATCTCGTCATCCAACAATAGTGGGTAGACAGATTTGCATATTCGTTGTTTATGAGAACAGAGGCGACTTCCGGAAGGAATTTCTGAATTACTGTTCATTATAAAATGTTCCCTATATATAATTGACATTCACAGAGACAAGCGACATTTCAACAAACCGAGATAAACACTATCTGTAGCATTATTTCAGGGCCCTGTTTATATAGGACTGACACAAATCACGCGTCCCAATATCCCAGCAGTTCTACGTTACCCGCCATCTTAACATGGCACTGCATGTTTATGGAGAAAGATCTCGCTCAGGGTTGGCTGTATTGCTTTCCAGTCATTACAGTCAATGAACCATGGAATATAATTTCATGACGATGAACAGTACACAAGTGCATCATGGGATATAACATTATATGAGATCGAACGAATGAACTATAGAAGACGAACATCGACGTGAAAAAGTCACCTCATAAAAAAACTATCCGGAGTCCAAACTCTACGTTGACTTAACCATATTCCGGGCCAGTTCAGATTTTAACAGGTAGTGTTTTTTACAGGGGTCCGTTTTTCACGTTACAGCGAATACAGGACAGAACATGCAGCCATATTTTATGTACAAAAGTTTGTTAACCAAGCTTGTTCAGATCAGATATACAGACATTGAAAAAGTTCAAATTTAAAAAATATGTTAATAGCAAACAGAATTCATATTGCATAGTGAAACGTGTGTGTAAAATTAAGAAAACCGTACATCGTGTATTAACAAGCATGATTCATCATTCGATGTCAGATATGAGTTTTGCATCCAAAACAAAGAAAGGTGTGTTCCTTTTGATTGTTATAGCACCAAAATAGCATAGATAATATAAACAATATATACATATACATATATAAAAAAATATTTGCATAACAAAACATAGTCATATTCAATATAAGTCAAAGTAAGTCTTAAGCTATAATGCGTAACGATAAATAACGTAACTGATCATCACATAGCTTAATGAAAAGCCAGTTGGATATGTGGCGATAGTATATCTGTACTGTAACTGTACTTAATCAGTACAGTGCAATTTCAAATGGAATAGTGTTAATATTGACGTTAGGGAGAGTGACCCTTGGAAAAAGGGAGATATATCACAGGAAGGTGCACCTTAAACGTATGCGCGATAATATGTTAAGGATGAGCTCACGTGTAATCATCGTTGAGGGAGGAATCGTAATGTTGAAGGGAAGATGATATGTGGCGTAGAACATTGCCAGCATCTATAATGGTCCAAGGATCCCCGGAGTGGTTATGATATTGAGGGAGTGGTTATGATGTTTAGGGAGTTGTTATGATGTTTAGGGAGTTGTTATGATGTTTAGGGAGTGATTTTAATGTTTTTGGAGGGAGGGGTTACGATGTCTGGGGAGTGGTTATGATATCGGAGGAGTGATTAGGATGTTGGTTGATGAATGGTTGTGAAGTGTTCGGAATAATATAATATTTGGGAATAGGTGATGATATTAGGGAAATTATTGTGATTTTGGTAGGGTGGTTTTGATGTTTGGTGAGTGGTTTTAGACATAAGGGAGTTTATTTTATATTGGGGTGTGGTTATAATATTCTGGAATTGAATGCGAAATTGGGGCGCGGTTATAAAATCGGGGAAGCGTTTGTGATATTGAGCGAGTGGTTGTGATATTGAGCTAGTGGTTATGATGTTGGTTGTGATATTGTGCGAGTGGTTATGATGTTGGTTGTGATATTGAGCGAGTGGTTGTGATATTGAGAGAGTGGTTATGATGTTGGTTGTGATAGCGAGTGGTTATGATGTTGGTTGTGATATTGAGCGAGTGGTTGTGATATTGGGGGAGTGGTTATGATGTTGGTTGTGATATTGAGCGAGTAGTTGTGATATTGAGCGAGTGGTTATGATGTTGGTTGTGATATTGAGCGAGTGGTTGTGATATTGGGGGAGTGGTTATGATGTTGGTTGTGATATTGAGCGAGTAGTTGTGATATTGAGCGAGTGGTTATGATGTTGGTTGTGATATTGAGCGAGTGGTTGTGATATTGGGGGAGTGGTTATGATGTTGGTTGTGATATTGAGCGAGTAGTTGTGATATTGAGCGAGTGGTTATGATGTTGGTTGTGATATTGAGCGAGTGGTTGTGATATTGGGGGAGGGGTAATGATGTTGGTTGTGATATTGAGCGAGTGGTTGTGATATTGGGGGAGTGGTTATGATGTTGGGAATTGATTGTGATTTTGGGGAAGTTGCAATGATGCTGGGGATTGGTTATGGTATTGGTGAAGTGGCAATGATATTTAGGGAGTGCCTATGATATGGGGGAGCGGATAAGATGTTGGTATAGTAGTTATGATGTTGTGAGAGTGGTTAGGATGTTCGGGAATGATTATGATATCAGGGATTGGGATGTGTGGGATGGTGGTTATGATGTTTCAGGAGTAATATAGTGTTTAGGGAGTGGTTGTGACATTGGGGGAGTGTTTGTGAAGATGGGGAATTCATTGGTAATGACATTGGGGAGTGTTTGAGGGAGTGGTCATGATGTTAAAGAAAGTAGTTATGATGTTGGTGAAGTAATCAAAATGTGGAAGTGGTCAAGATGTTTGTGGAAGTGGTCAAGATGTTTGTGGAAGTGGTCAAGATGTTTGCGGAAGTGGTCAAGATATTTGTGTAGGTAGTTATGATGCTGAAATGAGGAAAGGGTCGTATGATGCTATGGCCACACCGTAAGATGGATAACTGCTACATGATAATGGTCTCGTCAAACAAAAAAGTTGTTAAAATCACTGTTAACAACCGATGCAGAGTAAAAGATCACATATATATTCCAGCGTGATGTCATGTGGTTATCCAACTGAATTGAATATATCCTCACGTCAATGATACTGGTGATACAAACATGACAGACGTTTCAGAAACACAACTATATGTATCTTTGATCACTAATAGATGGGGTAATAATGGCATTTTCATTGACAACTTCTGAATATGGTGGTGGAAGTTCTGGGGGCGGGGTTTTAATGGCATCATCGTAAGACGGTGGGGATAAAGGAACGTCTGTGATTGGATGGTTTGGTTCCTCCATATTCTGATTGGACGCACTTGACTGCCGACCAATTCTTATCAAATTTTCTATGGTAGCTATCACTAATGTACGTCCTGAAAACAAAATAAAACCATTTGACAACTGTTTGAAGAATATAATAATTCGAAATATATCAGATAATCAGAACCTCTGAATCTTTAAAGTTATCGATTGGTTTATATTGCTCAAATCGATGAATTCAAACAAGAATGGGTTCCGAACCTTTTAGCGCCATTTTACGTTATGGGAACGTGACGTTCTAATTCCATTTTTCAATTTGTCCCTGTTATTGTTTGTTTTCATTTTCAAGAACCAAATAGCATTAATATTATGCAATGATAAGCAATGATTTGCAAAACAATACATACAAATCTAAAGAATAATTGTTTGTATGTAATAAAAGCAATACCACACGCGTTCATCAGACGTCGTTTCAGATTGCATTCCTTTATATGCGCGAATTCATGTATTTCATTTGGGCTAACACCCTCTGAAACACGCTTATAAGCGCAAAGCACTCCGCAGCCTTGGACGTCAGATAAATACATATGTGACATTGCCTATCAATCGAGGTATGTACTTACGGAGGTCTGACGGGACTCTCTGTGAGCTATGTCGATCGGAGAGGCGTCTTCCTGGCATTGTTGTAGATGGCTGTCGATTCTTCAACCGAGCCACTCTGCCCACACAACACACGATCAGGAGAAACAGGATGAAGATAGTGAGGGCATAGAAGAATACGCTGAACGGAGGCCTGAAGTGAGATCGAATCAGAATACAGAGATTATTACCACAGTGGTGATGATCTAAGGGGATCTTGGACATCAGAACACCTCAAATGAATTTCTGCATTTGTAGTATGTAGCATTTACCTGCGACGAATCTCGGGAAGGCAGGGCGTGAGTCACGGCGGAAACTCATCAGTTTTTGGTTTAAACTTTGTTTTATTCAAATTTTGTTTGACAATACATCGAAGTACATGTTTTATAGAACAGAAAAGGAAACAAAAACAAGTGTCGTGACACTTACGCAAATTTGTTACCTGATTAATAATCAACCTTTCAACACTAGCTACAAGAATGAAGTAATATGTACAACAGAATAATTACGGGAATAGGGGAGAGGGTTATGAATTGGTATGCAGTGGAAACCAGGAATGAATAACATATCAATATACATATGATCATCATATGGTAATATCATACTGCTCTATGCAACAGTAGATGAAAATGTCAGCAATCCTGTAAATGGACACTCGATTAACGTTAAAATGTATATACAAGTTACATAGAACAAATCACCACTAAATCAACTATTGACAAAATTATCATCAGTTTTTGAGTGTGCACCCTCCATACTCAGGGGTTACGCTCACTTTCGCTCTTTTCACTCCAAGAATATGTCATAAGTCTCAGGTGAAAAAACCCACCTTCCCAATCGCTAGGCCGATACCTGTCCTTGAAGATAACAGAGGAGCGACACCCGACTTCAAAGCCAGTCAATTTAACCGTTACGCGACTGACAGATTCCTTTGATAAAACTAGTGTTCTCGTCTCATCCACAGGGTTGTGCACACTTAGCCTTCAATTTTGCTATGACATATTCCAGGGGTGCAGTGAGTAAAGGAGAGCGTAACCCCTGGAGTATGAGGCTGTTGAGAGTGTTAAACCAAACACATTAGAACCCCAATTGCATCTTAGCTGCAAACTTCTACTCTACGTATTAGATACTGAATGTCCCCTGTTTACATTGTCCAGCGGTTTTAACATCCTTGTCAATAAATATTTAGTTTTTGCCATAACTGTATACAAGTTGTTTTATCTCATAAAGATAGGGATGAAGTCCTAGAAGAACAAAACTAACACCATAAATTAAGTAAGATTTTGGGCAATACATCCAAATTCTAGTATAATCTTTTTTGTTATTCCTAGTTTGTTCGTCCAGCAGTTTTGTCAAGTACCTCTTCAACGTATTTTGTTCTGTTTCTCTAGGACCAACTAAACTTGGATCACAAATAATTCACATTAATTCTATATAACTGCTTGTTTCAAATGCTGATTTTTTTTACATTGCCTTCATCAGTGCTAAGAATGTGTGTCAGAGTTTTAAAACAATTTATTTTACGTTTAGCTAAGTTGACTAGAATAGGATTATAAATGCTTCAATAGAAATGCATTTGAATATAATGGCTAAATTAAGAAATGATTAACATCTTTAAAACCTTCTTAATATCAGGTCAACATCCTCTCTAGATTTAAACTTTAAAATTGCAATATCTAAAAATAAAGTGAACAGATTTAGAGCTTAACATTTTAATTTAAAATATTTATTGTACGTTTAAAAATCAAATTTTAAATTTTAAATTTTTACTACATGTAATGCCTTGAAGCGCAGCTTTGTGTAAAATATAAATTCTAAACCAATTTTTTTTTTAAATAAATATATCTTTGGTAATACGTATCATTCCAAGCATCAGATGCTGTGTGGATCGTTGTGATAATGCAGATTAATTGCTGTCGATGGTCAAAGTGGGGACAGGGAGAGAAATATATTTCTATGGAATTCTTGGACATGACCTTTTCTTAACATTCTTATACAAATATAGCAAGGTTGAATTTAAAAAACAAGTATGCCGAGACATTTTTTTTAAAAATTACCGTTTTTAAATGCTTTTGAATTTTTCGATCCATTAAATATACCTTGCAGCTGAAAACAATACAAAACAAAACGAAAACAAACAAACAAACAAACAAAATAAGAAAAGTACATGTTACCAAATTGTATCGTTTTAACTCCGAACATGACTTACATAGAGGATGAACTGTCTTCGTTTTCCCCGCAGCACGGCATTGCCAAGGAAAGGTTACCACAGCAACCATAGTTACAGTACACGTGTAGCTCAGTTCCATCCTGCCTCTCGCAATAAGTCGACGAATAAGCGGAAGTTAAGGAACAAGTTACCAAACCTAGAAAGCAGTACATAATATATCTGTAATTCATCAACAAGTTACCAAAACTACAGAGTAGTACATAATATACATATGTAGTTCAATTAACAAGTTACCAAACCTACAGAGTAGTACACAATATACATATGTAGTTCAATTAACGAGTTACCAATCCTACAAAGTAGTACATAATATATCTGTAATTCATTAACAAGTTACCAAATCTACAGAGTAGTACATAATATATATATGTAGTACAATTAACGAGTTACCAAACCTATAATGTAGTAATATATCTGTTAATGAATTACAGATATATCATGTACTACATTGTAGGTTTGATAACTCGTTAATTGTACTATATACATATATAGTACAATTAACGAGTTATCAAACCTACAATGTAGTACGTAATATATATATGTAGTACAATTAACGAGATACCAAACCTACAATGTAGTACATAATATATCTGTAATTCATTAACAAGTTACCAAACCTATAAAGCAGTACATGATATATATATATATATGTATGTAGTACAATAAACAAGTTACCAAACCTACAGAGTAGTACACAATATATCTGTAGACAAGTTTTGTAACAAAGGCAAAACGTCTCGTATAGCTTGACATATGCAGTTTACAATTTCGTCACATTGTTGTACAGGTAAAGAACTTTTCGACACGTTAACACGCATTTTTGTGTAACATAAATAAGCCTTCTGGGTTATTTAAGTCACGCTAGAATTGAACGAGATATCTAATTAGTCTACGTCTACCGAATAATTGACCTCCTTATCATATTGAAGATTATGTCAGTATGTATGGTTGTGAGAGGGCATGGCAAAAAAGGATGTGTAGTCGTGTGTATGAAAATACTAATGACTTAGAGAGTGAAGTTTGGTTTTAAATGTGTCATGTGATTCTGAAGTTACCAGGCCAGGAGGCAATTTATTCCACTCTGGGATAGTTCTAGGAAAGAAAGAGAATTTACGATAGTTTGCTTTACAGTGGGGAATCTGATAGGAGTGATGATGGGAATGTCTGGATTGTCGTAACTGTGGTGTCAAGTTGAGATCTTTATTGATGGCAACTCTATTGTGTGATATTTTATACATCATAGTAAGACGGGCGTCATTACGTCTATCAGCGAGGCTGTCCCAGTGGTGTTATGCTAGCGGTTAGTGACAAATCTTGCAGCTCTACGATGCTTAGTTTGGTTTGGTTTGGTATTATTTTTAACGTCCTATCAACAGCTATGGTCATTTAAGGACGGCATACCCTGCGTGCAAGATGCATGTGTGTAGTGTATGCGTGTGTGTTTTGGGAGGCTGCGATATGTTCGTGCTCGTCTCCTTGTGATAGCGCGGAACTGATGCCGACTTTATAGTGCTACCTCACTGAAACATACTGCCGAAGACAACCAGCAGGACCGATCACATTATACTGACAACGGGCGAACCAGTCGTCCCACTCCTAAATTGCTGAGCGTTAATTAGCAGGAGTATAGAATTGCTGAGCGTTAATTAGCAGGAGTATAGACTATCATTTTTACAGACTCTGGTATGTCTCGGCCAGGGGACAGAACCCAAAGCCTTCCTCACAAGGGCGAACGCTCAACTAAAGGCCAAAAGTGAGGCATTGTTAAGGGAGACATTAGGAAGAAGAACGTTGTTTAGAAAGAAGAGAAACGATAAGATCCCGAATTTAGTCGCCTCTTACGATCATGCAATGGAGGCAGCAAGTACAATTCTCTACGATGCACCATACCAAGTTTGTTTATATCACCTTTTTGGTAAGGACCCCACACAGAACTAGCATATTCTAAAAACGGGCGCACTGGAGATTCATTTGTTTTCTTCTTTAATATTTTTTGAGTTTACTTTAAAGCTGCGCAGAATGAAGCGTAACGTTTTATTTGTTTTGTTTGTAATGTCGTAACTGTGGGAATCTCATTTCAGGTCGTGTAGGATTGTGGCACCTAAATATTTTGCTTTGTCACTGTGTGATAAGCAGTGACCATGTAGGTAGTAATTGTAATTAATGTGTTGTTTTTTTAAACTTTTGTTGATGGAGAGAACACAACATTTCCGGGGATGGAATTCCATTTCCACCCTTTTTCCCAATCTGTCAGTCTGTTAAGGTCGTCTTGTAAGGTATTAGATATTACACTGGAGGAGACTGATGTATACACAATAGTGTCGTCGGCAAACAGTCCAACTGAGGGTGTGAGACCGAGGGGCATCACCCCTGCAGGTTGGGGATCGAGAAAAGAACACACCTACTGTTACCCAGGCCACGGCATGTATCGTAAGAGGCGACTAATGTCTAAACCTCCTGCAGAATTGGGGATTTGCTTTTGTGCCCTCTACTTGGGAACACAAAAGCGACCAAAATAAATCTGCTGCACCCATCGCAACATTTGGGATCTTTATCTGTCTTTATTCTTCTATATTCCTTTTATTTCCTAGCGCCTTGTTTGGCAATACCTCGCTTCTACTGGCACAGTACCAGATTTGATAGAATGATTGAAAATTAAGCTCGAAATTGGTGACACTTCAAGGGCCATTTCCTTCAGTTTCGGTTTTATATCGTCTGTGCCTGCTGCTTTTGTTGGGTTAAGATATTGCAGCAGTTTGGTGACCTCTTCAATTTTGTCTAAAATCGGCAGAAGTTATTGGATCGGGTTTTGTGAAAACTGACTAGAATTGTTCATTTAAAATCTCTGCTTGCGTGAATAATTTCCTGTCTTTATAACATGCATGTGGGAAAAAAATCATTGAATGCTAGGTAACACAACACTTTTGTAGGGTGTTTCTATCTTGTAGATTTATAATATGGTCGAAATATAAATTTATTATAATAATTTCCTGTGTGTGCGGTAGGTGACTTCTGGAATATCCAAAATCACACCCATACAGTCCGAGGCCTAGGTCCTAACTGATGTTACAAATCATTATCTTGTCCCCAAGTACATTACACAATAAAAATAGAGTAAACAGTTTGAGTGACATCTGTCATTCCTAGTGATCGGCCATTCAGACCAAGATTTTAAACTGGCTTGGTAAGATAATTTAGCTGTCCTTTGTCCGGGAGACTGAATGCAGTGTCCGATCTGGTATGTCCAGTTGATCCTGTTACGTAATAAAATTAAGTTAAAAGGTAAATGGTATACGATGGGCATAGTTAATGCATAAGTTAATCTGACAACAATGGTTCAAACGAATACTGTATCTATCTGTGAAATATCAGCTTGTACTGATGGTGGGTCTTGCCACCTGATACTTGTATTTTTAATTGTATAATGACTCGTGGGTTTTTTTAAATACACCGGAGCGGGTGTGACTAACAAACACATTCTCGCTTCCTCTAACGGAGGCCAGGGAAAACACACGCTACGTTTGATCTCCCTTTTTAAATATTATGTACAGAATATACATACATTTATGTAAACTCTCCCACACAAACATTTTATACATATTCAGAGCATTCAGTGATACTTCCCCCAACACATACACACACGATTCGCGGTAGAGTACACACAATCATGAATTTGTGTTTTATGGCCAGCTTACAGACAGAAAGATACCTACTAACTGTACATGTGGATCCGTTTGGGAGCGGAGACTGACCATTACTTGCCAAGACCTGGTCAGATCCAGAGATATTTTATAATCGGCTACCTGTCGACCGCTATCACCGTATATGGGGTTCTAATTGGCGGGAAATGCTGTCCTGAGAGTAATACTAGGGTATCTATATAAGCGTATAAGCTAGCCCCATTAGATTCATTATGGAATTCTTAAATTTTCCCGAGCTGGTTAGGTTTTTAAATCTGACCGTTCACACCCTTACATTTTTGTAGGATAGTATCAAGATTGACTAATTATATATTAAATATGATGTATGCCACCATTTCATTCACTGTTGTTGTTTGTTTAGTTACTTGTTTATTATTCTGACATCATGATCAGATTCATATTATAGCTTATAGCCGGATATATACGGTACCGGTGATGACGAAATTTACCTGTGTAATTGCTTTATAGAGCAATGTGTGCATATGTACCCTCTATACACATCTAAGTACAATAAGATCCATGGCACAGGAGTATATATCATTAAGAAGTGTCATTGTGTTAATACTTCGATGCACGTTGAGGAGAGGGGGG